TGAATTTTTTTTTTGTTTTTTAGTTTAAAAAAAAAAAAAAAAAAACTCACAGGTCATGGAAGGGGAGTCTGGTGTAGGGCTCACCCTCTAGTGGCCAAAGAGAGAAGTTCAGACTCCTGACCTGGAGCTATTCTGCAGTTCCACTTTTATAGTTTCTCTGATACACTGCTTGCGTGTCCCCTAGTGATCTTTAACATTTAAAACACCTCCAGATTTCACGATCCATTCTTACTGCGGAAGGTACTACCCCTTTTAAATATGGGACTCCTGCCCACGACAAAACCCTTATGTAACCCAAAGGAACAAAAAGTCACCACCCAGGGGCTAGGGATTTAGCTCAGTGATTCTGCCACCTGCTTCGCAAGTGCAAGAACCTGAGTTCAATTCCCGGTATCCCCCAAAAGTCACCACCCAGGCCCGTCCGGGACACACTGTGGCCAACTCGAAACATACATGTGATCTCTGGAGTACACAAGTTCCTGTCACCACGTCCAGACCTGCAGGAACGAGCAGGAGACACTGGAGAACAGGCCTGGGCCTCCTGAACAGTGTGGGTGTCCCTGTCACGGGGCACCCAGCGTGCTCGTCAGCGGAGCCATTACTGTGTGGGAGAATCAATGGAGCTACTGTCACAGTGTCACGCGGAAAGGCAGAGGAGGCTGTACAAAGCCACCTCAGGGCAGAATTTCAGCACAGCTGAACAAGGCAGGAACCCAGAGACAGGCAGGCAGTGATCTTCCCTTTCCTGGTCTTCTTCACCAGAGAATATCCCAGCCCATCCGACTCACCCGAGTCTGGGGCGGATAGCAGCAAGGAAAGCCCTCTGGGCTCTGAGCCCTCTGCCCGCAGGGCTTGCACTGTTAGCATTCTCTAGGCCGGAATCAGTCCGGGCCTAGGACTGCAGGGGCGGCCTCCAGTGGCCCAGAGGCTGCCTGCCCTTTTAAAAACATGCAATAAAAAATATTCTTTAAAAAAGGAAGACTTGGGCTCTGGATTTAGCTCAGTAGTGCCACTGCCTGCCTTGCAGGTGGCAAAGTCTGGAGTTCAATCCCCAGTACCAAAAAAAAAAAGGAAGTCTTGTTGCTTATATACATCAACTATGCATTTTAAACGCAGCCCAGGGGAGCCAGAAGGTCAGACACCCAGTGTAGAGCCTCTACTGACTGGACCGGTCAGCAAGACTGAAGCAGCTAAGGGCCTTGGCTCAGGGGAGCACAGCTGTGTGAACACTCAGTGCCCAGAGCCGGTGTGCGGGAGCCAAGTTCTGCATGCAGGAGAAACACCCCAAGCAGGGTGCGTCCTGAACTGGCCCTCAAAGCAGTGTCCAGAAAGATGTTTTTCCAGTATCCCAAGGCAGCACCTTCCCCCTCTGGTCAGCAGGTAGAGACCGCGGTAACTGCTCGCCGTGCCTGGGTGTCACTGCTGAGGGTAAAACCCAGCAGCCTGCAGCAGCCCCAGCACAGTGACTGGCCTGATGGCCATGCTGACTGCTCCAAGGGACCTGCTCACCACAGCCTCAGGAGCCATCTGCCTGTCACTGTCCCTTTACCGAACTGAGCCGCAGAGAAGTGACCTTGCCCAGAGTTGCACAGCACACAGCTCCTGGGGTGTGGATTTGAAAGCCATGTGGAAATTGTGGGTGCTTGTGGCATGCACAATTTAAAACAGCCTCCAGCAGGTGTGCGCTCAAAAGCACGTGGTTAAGAACTAAACCGAGGCAGGCCTGGTGGTGCAAGCTGTAATCCCTGTGCTGGCGCCCCTCTGGGCATCTGAACAGAAGTGCTGCTGGGCTTGTGCCTTCTCAGGGGCTAGGCCTCCAACTGTCTGACCTGGTGAGGCTGGGCTCACTGTGCTGAGAGCGGGCCCCTGCCTGGTACAGACCGGCTGGGCCCAGTTCTCCAGGTTTGGGCTAGGTTAGAGTTGGGCAGCTGGGAGACACCCTGGAGCCCAGGCTCAAGGGCACACCTACAAAGAGGAACGCAGGTGAAGACTGGCAGGAACTGCACATCTGCCCAGCAAGGCGGGAAACCCAAGGCAGCCTTTCCACCCCACATCACAGCCCAACACTGAGGCCAAGCAGCATGGAACAGTCATGTAGTTTGCCCGATACAGAGAGCCAGAAACAAGACAGCGGAGGCCCAGGCTGGAGGAGACATGTCTGCTTCATCCACATAAATGACCAGACGTTCTGATACCAGCAGTGTCCCCAGTCACTGTGACAATGCTCCCCCACAAGGGTGTGAAAGGGGCCATGGTAGTGGTTCTGCTCTTGCAGAGGACCCCGGGCCAGGGGTGGAGAGGGACTAGGGAGGAAGTAGCTTATTCCTGACCCAGGCCAGCAAGCTGAGCTGAAGCAGGAGGCCTGCATGGGGTTAGAAATGAATCCGAGGAAGCAGGGGCAGCTACCAGAAACCATGATGCAGCACAGCAGGACCAGGTCCAAGAGGAAGTCATTTCCGGGCAGCTCCTACCCAAAGGGAAGCACTAATACCACCCAGAGGGTCCAAGACCTTGGCCATCTGCCCATGTGCACTATCTCTCCAACAGCTCACGGTCCTTGAGGACAAAGAGCACCTCCAGTGCCCACAATTCCAGGTGTGAAGGTGGCGAAGTCCCTCTCCAAAACAGCTGGAGACAGCGCTACTCGACGTGTATCTCAGCGGTGCAGGCCACCCACCCACTCACCCACCCAAACACACACACACACACACACACACACACACACACACAGA